TTTGGGGTTTTAAAAGGTCTGAAAATGGTTTAAGATGAGTGGGCTGACAGTAGGGTACTAAAGTACCATTAAACTAATGCAATTGTTTAGTGCTAATGGGGAACAAAACATAATAGAGGGGGAAAGGTTTAAAGGAAATGGATTAAGAAATAGGTGCTCATACCTATTTGATTTTAAAATAAAGAAAAGGCAAGGGTAGTGGGGAACAAATGAATTAAACATATAGTAGTGGAGGGGGAATATCATGGGCAGAAGTACTTTCTTAATTAACTTAATGCTCCTAAGAGCTGAAAGGTGAGTAAGGTTTGGCTATAAGTGAAAGGAGCTTGAGACAGTGGAAGGGATCTTTTTCTTGGAGAGTGGAGTCTGGGCTTGGTTCTTTCTTCTGGGCTGAACTGGTTGTGTTCGTGGCTATTTGAATTCCAAATCTGCTGTTATTCCTGGCTGCTTGCTACTACTGATTGCTCCTTCTTCATTGTTGTAACTCCCAGTTTTGAACTAGAATTCAACCCTTTTACCTATTTGCTTCGAGTCTGTTGGTTCGAGTTAGTGGATAGATCAGTTGACTGCTTATACTTTAGTCCCTGATTCATTCGTGGGTTTTGGCATTTTTTGTGTTGTTGTTGATATTGCTGGAATTCTGCTGGTGCCTTTTAAATTTGTTACTGGGTTATTTCTACTGGTTGTTGCTGAGTTACATACTACTCTGCTGATCTTCTTCTTCTTATATTGCCATTTCCAGGTACACAACTGTAACCCCGGTCATTTGTAAGCTGAAAAACATAAGCATGAATATACATGAAGATTTGAAGCTTTAAGTTGATCTAGCCTTTCTATTGATTTGTATATTAGGATATCTCACTCACTAATATCATGTAAATGCCTGCGGGATGTATAACTGGACAGTTCTTGTAACGATTTAATTTGTGAACTTTCAAATGAACTTTATATCATGTATCTGCTCTTGTCTATTTCGAATGTATAGCTGTTGTCAATAATATTTGGTTCGCTTTAGGTTGATTATTAGGTAGTGTATTTCGAATGCATGTCCATTAGATTCCGGCCTAATAGACTATTTAATCAACACAACAATCTAACTGTAACATCAATGGCTTGAGTTTAGGATCAGGAATAGACATCTAAATTACCTCTTTCTAACTATTGCTCTTATAAAACCTGTAGTAATATACTTAATTAGATATAATCATTTCACCTTTCTGTGTGGCGAATTGTTGAATATGTGTAGAATAACTTAAGTAAGCTTCATTAAGTGTTTAGTTCATTTAAAATCGGAAGAGTGATGTGTTTTGTCGAAAAGAGATCGATTACCCGTATTTAGGCGGATTGGGCCTCAGCACTTGAATAAGATGGCCCAAGTCCTGTTTTTAACACTACATTCGTTTGGACCTGGGCCCAGGTTGGTGAATAGCCATGCCCGTCTGCGTACTTTGGTTCTGATTTTAAACGGGTGGTGTTCATGACCCAACTATAATAGCTCTTAAACCATATAATTAATTGGGACTCCTCCTTTTATTTTAGAAACGAACTAATCAGAACACTATAGATTACTTTAGGTTGGCCCTTTAAAGATAGTAAAATGAGATGAGCCTCGCTGAATAAACACATAAATGGCAGGGCCCTCACGATTGTATATATTAATTACTTAGAACTCGGGATCAGCCGCTTAGCGAATTTCACGGCCTTCTTCCCAAAATAACAACGCGTTAGTCTCTTTAGGCGCGTACTTAAATAATATTACCTTCTTAAACCCGGGTGCACATTTATGTAACCCAAATCCAAATCTCAACGAAGTCGAAATATGTCGATATTCACGGGTACATTGATGTGACGTGATTCGAGATACGTTCTCACAACGTTGCAATTCTATGTTTAAATAATAATGATAATAATAAAAGCGGTTAAAAGTTAAAATTTGCACATAGGTTCATAATTGTATAAAAATCAGATAATTAAGCCGAATATGACAGTTGAGCGACCGTGCTAGAACCACGGAACTCGGGAATGCCTAACACCTTCTCCCGGGTTAACAGAATTTCTTATACAGATTTCTGGTTCGCGGACTGTAATATAGAGTTAATCTTTTCCTCGACTCAGGATTTAACCGGTGACTTGGGACACCATAAATCTCCCAAGTGGCGACTCTGATTTAAATAATAAATCCTGTTTCGATTGTCCTTTAATTGGAAAAACTCCCTTTTACTCCCCCTACGTGTGCAGGTGAAAAAGAAGGTGTGACAGTGGCGGCACAATAATACCTGGAACAACTACACCATTTTCCCCATAGTCCTCAATCATCTCCGTTTACCAAGTTAGACATTTTTGACCTGAAATGGATGATCTTGGAAAAGAAAAAGTGTGAAAGATAACTTGCGTTATGTAGTAAAACCAGCAAGAAAATAATCACTATTATTTTAGCCCCACGGTGGGTGCCAAACTGTTTAACGTGAAAATGATAATAGCAATTAAATTTATTGATGGGACTCTAAAAATACGGATCTATTTTTATGCTAGTTTGTTAAGCAGTTGATGCTGAGTATGTGATATTTAGAGATAAAATAAAGTTAGGAAGAGAGCTATAATCAAACCGCTAAGTGAGCTATTCGGGGCCTCGAGCCTATCGATTTGGGACCTCGAGGTCGATTCCAGGGCTCGGACTCGAGCTGTCGTGGGTGATTGGGGTAGGGATAATCGTTATGAAATAATCAACGAAGGCTCTTTATGGCCAATGACAAACAATAAATGATGAACAAATATGAGGACAATAAATGAAAGCAGTATTATCAAAAGAATGTATGAGAGAGCAAAAAGAGTGTTCTTTTATATTTCTTGTGGAGCGGATAGAGCAACAACAGAGCATTACAAAGTGCCAAGGATCCCCCTTATATAGTAGGAAAAATCCCAACATAGTACAAAATACATTAATGATAAAGAAACCGGGATGGGACAGCTGGCTAACTTCATGATGCAGGCTCAGACTAGCTTCAGACTAGCCTGACAGATTTTGCCGGGCCCGGCTGCACTCTTCGGAAACTCCCCATGCCCGTTGGGGTCACATCCAACGTTATCCCCAGGTCGGGTGTCGATAGACCTCGAGGGAGGGTACTCGGTCCGTGGTCTCGAGCCTTCGAGGTGATCTTTCGAGACGCCTTATTAACGAGAAATTGGTTCCTTCGATTTCCCCGTATACAAGAATCTTGGAAAGGAATGCAAGAAATTAGAAGAAGTTTTTGAATGGTTGTGATGCGGTATTTATAAGAGAAAGACATCATTATGAACTATCACTTCAAACTGACACAGCCGCAGAAAACCTTAAAAAGATGTTGTAAACTGTAGAGACAATCATATCAAAACACGTTTCTCGAGCATTAAGTGGAAAAAACGTACATCTTTTCACTTTTGAAGAAAATATAATGATATTGGGAAGAGGCAGCAAGACATCACCCCATAAATAAACTTATCACTTCCCGAATATTTAGAAAGTGAGGAGAATATCTGTATTGGCGGAAAAATAGATATGCCACGTGAAGTAATGATATGTTGACAGGTGGCATTTGAATAAGAGCAATAAAGAGGAATGATGTACAGGATTATTTATAAAGATACCGTATCTTATAATCGGAAAGAAGAGATAGACATGGGATGCATGAACACCACAAAAGAGGAAGATTCATCAACAAATACGAATATGAAAAAGGAATTAGCATAATCCCTGATTATACACGATTGTTTGCTATTACCATAACCGTTACGAATAATTTCAATTATGAGCAATTAATGAAGTTAATATTAGTAACGGTCAAGAATTAAGTGGGAAAAACAGTTACGTATTGTATCCTTATATAAACTTCCATTGCCATGCTTTGTACGATCATCATGGAATCCACAAATATACGCAATCAATTTTTCTCTGCTTGATTGAAGATTCTTACTTTCAATCCTTGGAAGGAAGCTACAATAATCTATAAGATTTCCTTTCCTTTTATTAATTAAATATTTAATTTCTATCATTTCATATTCTCTTATATTTAGAAAAGTGAAATAAAATTGGTTATTAGAAATCCGATTTATTTCAATATTTGCTTTGACCACAAAAATTATTTTTTGGTTAAATATTTACTGAAGTGAGCTATTGTAGTGCTTCTTTCTCAACTAGTGCTTAGAGTTCTTTTTCTTCTTCTTTTTAGTTGCAAAATGAGCTTGTTAGATTTGATATTGTTTTGGCCAATTGATGATTGAGTTTTTTTTAATAATATTTGAAAATTTTGTTTCAAATTTGAGTTTATTTGGAGTAGATTTAGGTAGTAAATCGCATGTTGGATTGTTGAACAAATTTGTATTTCTGGGCAATTTGCACTTAAGACTAAAACGTCTTAAGTGGATGTAAAGTTTTTGATGCACTTCAGACTAAAACATCTCAAGTGCAAAAATTTCAAACTAAAATATCTTAAGTACATGTAAAAAATTGGCTGCACTTCAGACTAAAATATCTTTCATTTTTTTTCTTTCTTCTTTCGCTTCAAAAACTTTGCTCGGTATTGGCTTGTATTGTAAATTTCGGTAGATTTCATTGTTTTTGGGCTTATTTCATACTGAAAAGGAATAAATTACATTGCGGTAATATGAGTGAAAAGAATGAAAGTACTATGAGTGACACAAATGAATGTAACTTCAAACAAATTTTTGATATTTTGTCTGAAGTTAGGCTTACTTTAGACCCGTTTTTATGTCTTAAGTTTATAACTTCACATGCAAATTTTTTCAACTTCAGACCCTCTAGTCTAAAGCTAATCCCAAAACAAGTAAGCTTGTAAATTTTTATGTAATAACATTAACGGTGATCCTTAAATGGAATATATATGCACTTGTTCCCTCAAGCTATGGTGACCAAGAGAACTCCTCTAGCACAAATTGAAGCACCTTTTTGGGTCCAAAATGTGCACTTTATTCCATACTACCTCTCTCAACTAGTATGATGTTAGATAGTTGACTAAATTACGTCCAAACAACAATACAACACTTGCTAAAAAAATAGAAAACCAAACGACATTGTACCATCGACCTATGCCTATTTCCAACTCATCTTGAACTGCTATTCACCTAAGAAACAAAATCCTAAGGAGAGAGTGGACAGAACAAAAAGCAGCGCCATACAAATAGGAGAAACAAAAGAAGCCAAAAATTCCCATTTCAATGGCTTCTTCCTTGGCTTTGCCTTCAACTTCAACAAAAAGCTCTTCTCTCTGTCAAAGCTTCGTCCCTAAAAGGACCCATCAGCCTAGCTTTGTTGTAAGTCCTTTCGCATTCCCTTTTTTCTTTGTGTGGTTCCTTTAAACTAAATCCCTTTTAGAAGATTTAATCTGTTAAATGGAAAACATGCCTGCTCTATTTTTGATGAAGGGGTTCAGAAAATATTAATAATTCTTTATATTGATTTTGCAGTTTAGTGCACAGTAGGGATGGAATTTACATAGTATTTCTAATCGTTTGTGATTCATTTTATGAGTTAAAGCTCCAATTTTGGCCGATGAAAAGTGTATGCTGCTTATTGATATTTATTTGCTTTATTATTAAGATCCTTTACTTTTTTGTTTTTCACTTTTCCGCTAGTAGTAAACCATTGATGTGTGTGTTTAAGATGACTAAACTATATTTACAAAAACAATAGAAATTGAAAAGTGTCTTTACAAGGAGAAATGGAAATGGAGTTTTTTGGATTAATTAATTTTGGTTTATAAGCACTTGACAAGTGCTTATGAGTTGGCCTTGACCAGGTTATAAGCTTGACTTGACGCCCTCTTATATATCTGTCCTTTTTAAGGGGTTATATTCTTATACTCTTAAGTGAAAAAAATAATTTAGTGCAACTTGAGTTTGCTCTGCTTTCCTGGATTTAGTGTTATAAGTTGAAACTTTGATAAAGCTCCAAAATTTATGGTGCTTGCTTGTTTTATTGCTGTGCCCTCTTAGATATCTGCCCTTTCTTTTGTTTGGATATCAGAGTTGTGAAAGAAGTGAACCAGTGAATGGGAAGCCTCGCGTGCCAATTATCAATGATGGAACACTTCCAAAGTTCTTGCAAGCAAAACGCCTAGAGAATGCAGTTAGTAGAAACAATAGCAGGCTGAAGATATTCACTGGAACTGCAAATCCTTCTCTTTCTCAGGTAAACCAGACGATTGTTATGTGTATACATGCTGTTTTCTTGTCTGCCAAATTCAGTCTAGTGACAACCAAGATCTTCTTATTTGCTTTGTACAGTGTAAACAGTGACATACTGAAATTTGCTTCCCGAGTTTCACACTTCAGTAATTCCTCAACTTCAAATACTAATCTAGTGTCTTAAAATTTGTTATCAAGTAGTAGTATTTAGAAAAAATTGGAATAGCCTTTCCAGCAGGACAAGAAAACAAATCCTTGGGAGATTGCCTCCAGTTGTACATTGTTTTTTTTTTTTTTTTGATTTGCACCGGGTGTCCGAGTCTCTAAGAGCCCTGACTAATCCCTGGGGTGCACCGGCCCTCGGCAAGGAGTTTTCCGCAAGTGCACCACGGTTAATTCAGGTTTTACCCAGTCCGATGGTCCTCAGAAATTGTTTGCACCCAGTAGGTTTCGAACTTGAGACCTTGAAAGGGAGCAAACCCCAAGGCTCAAGTCAATTGCCATCAGGCCAACCCCTGAGGGTTGCCTCCAGTTGTACATTGTACTTGACTGTTCCAGCCCACTCAAGGATATAGTTTCAGGATTTGGGACTATGGAGAATTCTGCGGTTTCGGTCTCGATAATTCAGCTTTAGATTTTCATTCCTCGTTAAGCATAAAGAATTTTCCTCCTTTTAAATATTGCATAAGAAGTGGGGATTAAAGGAACATTCATTTGTTTTCTCTCTTCTTACGAAAGATATACAATTACAAAGATATCTGAAAAATCCGTTGTAAGAATTCCTAGGATATTATTTTATTTGGTAATTATTTACTTTTCTCCTCAATCGTCAAAATATACGAATTATTGTCACTTCTAGCAGTGAATCTATGAAGCTTCTTTTAAGTTAATGCTGTGCTTTTCTTTTCAACTGATGCAACAATTTTTGTCACTTAGGAAATTGCTTGGTACATGGGCTTTGATCTGGGAAAGGTCAACATAAAGCGCTTTGCTGATGGTGAAATTTATGTCCAGTTGCAAGAGAGTGTTCGAGGCTGTGATGTCTACTTGATTCAATCCACATGTCCTCCGGCCAATGAAAACCTTATGGAGCTTTTGGTAATGATAGATGCATGCAGAAGGGCTTCTGCCAAGACCATTACTGCCGTGATTCCATACTTTGGATATGCCAGAGCTGATAGAAAGGCAAGCTAGATTCCGTTGCAAATTTTATGCTTGCAAGCTTCAAATTTTTATTGGTCAATTTTATCAGCCACCTTTGTCTTTGTTTCTATTCCACATCGAGGTGGGAATGGGTGTGGCGTTTACCTCTATATATACCTGTATAATAATACCCAAAAGGTGATTACAAAAGGAGAGGGAGTCAGTGTTGTGAAGAGCGTGAAGCCAGGAAAAGCGACAAGCCCCTTTTCGCTTAAAGCGAGAAGCGAAGTGCTCGCTTTTTTGAAGTGAAGCGGAATTTTTTAAAAACAATATTAAAATAAATACTGCGTAGACAATGAAGAAGAAGAAGAAGAGGAGAATAACAATAAAATAAATACTGCATAGACAACTAAGAATAAATGATATGAAAAAAATGGCAGTAAGTATGCCAAAAAATGGCAGTATAACTGAAACAAAAAATGGGCAGCATTTCGCTGCAATTTATCACTGAAATGGTGAAGCAAATGAAGAAGAAGAGGAGAGAAAAAGAAGAACCGAAGGGGAAAACAATTTCGCCAGCTATTTGCTGCTATTTGGACACTGAAACAGTGAAAGAAAAAGAAGAAGAAGGAGGAGGAGGAGGAGGAAGAAATCACATACCTGGGACCAAACTTGACGATGTTGAAGTTAAAAAAAGAGAGCCTTTTTAATTAATTAACGTTGGCAGCCCAGTTATAAAGAGAAGCGCTCGCTTCTGTCGCTTTGTTCGCTTCCTCGCTTCTGGCTTTTTCAGGGGAAGCGATCGTTTTTGTGTACCTGATACGCTTCAGATCAGAGAAGCGCCAGATGCCTCGTTTCGCATCGCTTCTCGCTTTAAGCAAGGAAACGGTCGCTTTTAACAACACTGAGGAGTAGAGCCTAACCTGACATTTCCCTATGCTCTTATGATTACAAGTACTGCCACTATTTTCTTGCATCTTCTTCTGGGTCACTATTTTAGTGTTCTTTACTCTTGAAATAGTGCAACGATTATGTCGAACAGTTTGTGTCCTTTTTTACTACTTTCTTTTCATATGCTTTGAGGTTTTCTCAGTTGTCTTTAAGAGTTACAACTTACAGATGAGAACACAATTTTTAGTGCATTTATTATGTTCTAATAATCATAAATTTTTTTAGTTACAGACACAAGGTCGTGAATCCATTGGCGCCAAATTGGTTGCGAACCTTATAACTGAAGCAGGTGCAGATCGTGTTCTAGCTTGTGATCTGCACTCCGGGCAATCAATGGGTTACTTTGACATTCCGGTGGACCATGTGTACTGTCAGGTAATCTCTTATGTACTATTGACAATGCTTAAGTATTTCCCATTTTAAATTAGCAAATGAGCAGTCTGCATTCTTTGCATGCACAGCCGGTTGTCCTTGATTACCTTGCTAGCAAGAAGATTTCTTCCAATGATTTGGTAGTGGTCTCTCCTGATGTTGGCGGTGTTGCTAGAGCACGTGCCTTTGCAAAAAAGTTATCTGATGCACCATTAGCCATTGTGGACAAAAGGCGGCAAGGACATAATGTCGCCGAGGTAGATACAAAGCTAAACCTTGGTACTGCAGTTTATTGCATTGTCATGGAAACAATGTTTTAAGTTCTGGTCTCCCAATAGATGAGATGAAGACCCCCTTTAAAAATTCTATTTGTGAGCTACGTTGCTCGAACTCTCCAAAAATATTGTCGCACCCATATCGGATCCTCCAAAATTTTACTACTTTGGAGGATCTGGCACACACCCGGCGGGGGCATTTTTGAATAGTCCGAGCAACATAGCTTGTGAGCAATGTGTTGTCCTCACAGTTTTGGAGTATCATTTAGCAAGATGTATTTCCACAAAACTTATTTAATCCTCTAATCAAGGGTTTCTACTCAAAGGTCAATTCCCCTCTTTGGCTGGACTAACCAACGCTATTGCTTCAATCCTTTCCCCTCCCAANTTTGAGAGCATTCCTATCTAAAAGTGCTGTATCGGTTCAGGACTATTCATTTGGCTTGCAAGTGCCTAGCAGTCTCAAAAAGTTCTTTTTTGTGGAGTAGGCTGTATTTCCGTGTTCAGCCTTGGTCTCATAGTTTATAAGCATTCCTCCCAAGTCAAGTAAACTGCTACATTTTTTTTTTTTTTTTTTTTGGGGACCAGTAAGGTAATTCATTAACAGAGTACTAAGAAGGTACTTTAAATGTATGAGCTCTATACCCAACTCCTTTATGCGATGCTTAATAATTAATATTGGTTAAGACATCGAATACTTTTTTTCATGGGTCACTGACTGTGTTGTGACGTGTATCTATCTGCACTTCTTCTTTAGTGTACCTCAACATGATTTTGGTGCTTTTAGATATGGTTTGCTCTATATGAGGATCATCATCCTAATTATTCTTTTTAATTTATCACTTACATCTGTTGATTAAGCATCCAACTACGGAGGGGAAAAACCCGTAGCAGATATGCTTGAATTCAGGTGAAAACAATATTATAGAGCTATTATACTACACAAAGTAGTAAACTCTGTTTGCATTTCTTCTTCCAACATCGCTTTCAACACATCCTATCTTGTCCTGGAGCCATTATTTTGTTCTGTTGCAGGTTATGAACCTGATAGGTGATGTTAAAGGAAAAGTTGCAGTTATGGTGGATGACATGATTGACACAGCAGGTTAGTTGGATGCATAACTCTAGTATTCATGTCGATCCAAAACCTGGAAACATAAATGGTTTATTAGTCTTAGTTCTTTCTAGCATGGACACTAACTGACTCAATGAACTATGTGGTGATCTGTTTAGTATCCTCTATCTTGAGTTATTCGCCCTGAAGGTTTTATTTTATTTATGTTTCTCTTTCTTCCATTTGCGCATCTTAAGATTATGAAATTGTCACAACTAGAAGTTCCACTAGGTGCACATGTGCAGTGTGGAGCTTCTTTTGCTTTTGTTAGGCTCATTTTCTTGTTCTAAGGAGGTCAGGTTTGAAAATCACTTGTTAACTTTCTGCTTATGGGTCTTAGGGACTATTGCCAAAGGCGCAGCGCTTTTGCATCAGGAGGGCGCACGCGAAGTTTATGCATGCTGTACGCATGCTGTTTTTAGGTAAAATTTCCCATTTATTTGACACGTTATACAGCATTAAGAACTCTATATATATACACATTATACCCTTAGTAGAGTGGTTAGCTGGGTGAATATGGATACACTTCAACCAATCTATCTCGGCTGATGTTTTAGCTTACAACTAGACTGTTGCTGTGTGAAAATTGTTCTATTCTTTGGCAGACCTTCAATCATTTTTTTTAAGCTGAACACGTTTCTATTTTAATAATGGTTGTAACTTGTTGTGGAGTGGAAGTATTGTATAACTTTGTGCAAATTTGGCCTAGTCACTTTTCTTTGGTATATGAGAGTAGAATCTCTGGGAGCAGCTAAGACTCAAACTTTCACTAATATTATTGTAGTTTAGTACTACCTCCGGTCCAGTTTAATGTTCGTCTAAGATTTTGGCATACCCATGAAAAACCCAATATAATATTATTAATTGTAAGGATTATTTGACTAAGTTACCCTGATACGATCCGAGATACACAAAGCAACAGAAGTTGAAAATAACAATAGTTGAAGCAAAACTGAAGATAGATTTCCATTAAAGTAATCGAAAGTAGTTTGGATAATCAAATCAAGAAGAAAAATCTAGAACCTAGATGAACGTCTCAGGCAACAACCAACTTACGTGTTCGATCGCCTCCAAAGTACGACAAAAAGAAACCCTAGATATAAAGAAAGGCGAAGAAGATTACCCTGAAGAACCTAATTCTTTAAAACAGGTAATCCAATGTCGAATGTGAATCAAGAGGCTCAAAATCTCTCTGAAGAGTTTTCTTATGTCAAAATATGCTAAGTGACTAATGAAATAACCCTACATTATTATAAATATTAAATACCCAATGGGTAAAATAGGAAAAAGTTCCAAAGATGATTTTCCAAAACAGCTCGTCAGGCCCAACCGTGTTCTCAACGGTAGCCTCAACCGTGTCACATAGCTAAATCGTGTGGAAATTCATAAGCTTATTTTCTTCGGCTCTTCAGGCCCCTCTTGAACCATGGCCAATAGTTGGTGCAACTGTGTTTCACTGTTTGGCTTGGGTCTTGATACTTCAATTCCCAAGCTTCCAAATATGGTATTCTTTGCAAGAATTCTCAAGTTAACTCTCCAAATACCTTCTAATTCTTTGTTGAAGATCATGCAACTCCTTAGCGTGCATTCCTTGAACGTTCTTGGACTTGGAGTGAGTCAACGGTCCACTAGATAATTCGAGGTACTCCTCAATGTTCTCCGTTCCTCCCGGGCTATCTAGGATCGTATCATACCCTTTATAATCTCTTCAAATTACCCTTTGTCTCTCAAACTTTTTAGATCATTTATTGGAGGAGGGGTTGATTTGGAAAAGATAATTAATGCCTTCCTGAGGTTAAAACAACATTTAAAATGGACATCAAGTAGTATTAATTCGTATGTCATTGATGTTGAGACTCATAAGGTGTTATTTTTTGAATATTAGAAACAACTGCAATTTTTTGTTCCTATGGTTCCAACATTCTTGATATATGGTTCCAAGTTTACGCATATCTTGAGTTACCTTTATATTAATTCACTATTAATATTCTTGTTCTGACAGCCCCCCTGCGATCGAGAGGTTGTCAAGTGGCCTTTTTCAAGAGGTCATCGTCACAAACACAATTCCTGCCATGGAGAAAAACTATTTCCCACAGCTGACTGTTCTCTCAGTCGCAAATCTTCTCGGTGAAACAATTTGGCGAGTGCATGATGATTGCTCTGTGAGTAGCATTTTCCAATAGGCAGGAGAGATGGTGGCAACCCCTCAAGCCAGGTTGTCGGAGTTTTCATTTAGCTTCTGCATGTTATTTGTTTTCCTTTTTTTATTTTTCAAATCATCTCCCTCTTTTCACTCTTCCATCAATTAGACGCCTCCATTGGCATGAATTTCCTTTACCCTTGTCCATCTTTAGAGGTGACTGACATGCTAAGCGAGTGAACAAATTCTTCTCTTGTTCCATGCTTGTTTTTCGTTGTAGCCAAGCCAGAGTAAGTTCTACAGTTTTAGAATATTTTGGTCTTGTTAAGTTAGATAGTTGGAAGGATAGGAAGATGGAAACGTCATGTTCTTACTTTCAAGATAGGATTGATCCATGTTCTGACATCTCATGACTATCAAGCCATAGTATTAATCCAGAAAATACTGCTCCGACATTGGAAACAGCCTCTCTACTCCCTCGGGTAGGGGTAAGGTCTGCGTACACACTACCCTCCCCAGACTCCACTAGTGAGATTTTACTTGGTCGTTGTTGTTGTTGCTGTTGCTCTGACATTGTCCATATGAAATGCCGAAACTGAAATAGTGCTATTTTTGGCACAAAATACGTTTCTACTATTTTAAAAAAAAGTTACATTTCTACATAAAACGCAGTATAATATTGCGTTTTACTTTAACGGAAAATTAGCCGTTCAAGTTAAACGCAGTATTATACTGCGCTTTATTAAAAAATTAATTTTTAATGTAAAACGTTGTATTATACAACGTTTTACTAACTTTGTCTGCATTTGCAGTTTTGCACCGGGCTATTTTCCTTTGCTCTTAATTCTAACCTTTTATACATGGGTCCCACAATTTCCCCTAGAATTTGGTGCACAACTTTCTTAAACACAAAGGAGTTTTAACAGTAAAAAAAATGTTGATTAACCATATATATTTAATATTAAATATATATATATATATATATATATATATATATGTATTTAATATTAAAAAAATATTAAAAAAGTAATACCCTAATTTATTTTGGTGTTACTATTACTTTGTTGGCGTTTGTACATAAGAATTATAAAATTCCAAAAAAAGTCTAAATTATTTTAAGTGAAAATAGTATTTGAAAATTAGAGTTGTGTTTGAACATGAGTATAGTTTTTTCGGTTATTTTGAACATTTTGTGAGTGATCTAAGTGAATTTTGAAAAATAACTTTTTGGAGTTTTTAAAATTTTTGAAAATTTTCAAAATTCATCTTCAAGTAAAAATTGAAAAATTTATAGCCAAATAGTGATTTCGAAAAAAAAAATGAAAAAAAAATCGAAAAAATCAGCATACTTACCTATGAAAAATAGTAATGATTTATAATTGTAGTATCCACAAGTTAGCAATTACAGGAGAAATCAGCATGCTTACCTATGAAAAATAGTAATGATTAATGACTTGTAACTAGCGAGCAAGTTCAAACGGTCCTTAAAAGTTAGCAATTACAGGAGAAATCATATCATTATTTAATTCGAAGTGTTCCGTAAACTTAATGTATTAAAATTCTAGAAAGCTGCAGCGTTTTATTCAAATCAATATTTTCTAGAAAAAATTTCACTTTTTTTTTCGAAATCAATATTTATCTATAAAATTCTTATTTTCATTTGAAGATGAATTTTGAAAATTTTCAAATATTTTTTAAATTTTTTACTCAAATTACTCACAAAAATTCCAAAACAACCCAAAATTAATTCATGTCCAAATACAACTCTAATTTTCAAATATCATTTTCACATGAATTTCTTTTTAATTTTTTTGGAATTTTACAATTCTTATGTCCAAACACCCACTAAAAATGCACAATACTATCAAACAAAGCATAATTAGGTAGTCTCACGCTAGAGTTATTTTCTAGAATAGTGTGTATCATATTATTGATTATATTGTTACAAAAAATACGACAGTATTTTTATTGTTTTGTTCTTATATCTTGTTAGATGACTATTTAAGTAATTAGCACACCTCACTTGGCCAATAATTCTACCGATGGACCTCATTTCACTACTAGAGAATGGAGAAATATTTCCGGGAAATCAAAACTCTAAAACATGAGAAATAAAAAAGTATTGTTGCAATAACAAATAAGAAACAAAACATAATAAAATAATAAAATAAAAACAAAGAAATAAGTAGATACCTTGATCAACATTTTTTTTACTGTTAAAACTCCTTTGTGTTTAAGAAAGTTGTGCACCAAATTCTAGAGGAAATTGTGGGACCCATGTATAAAAGGTTGGAATTAAGAGCAAAGGAAAATAGCCTGGTGCAAAACTGCAAATGCAGACAAAGTTAGTAAAACATTGTATAATAGAACGTTTTACATTAAAAATTAATTTTTTAATAAAATGCAGTATAATATTGCGTTTAACTTTAACGGCTAACTTTCCGTTAAAGTAAAACGCAGTATTATACTACGTTTTATGTAGAAATGTAACTTTTTTTTTTAAAACACTAGAAACGTATTTTGTGCCAAAAATGGCACTATTTCAGTTTCGGGCTCTGGACCTGCCTGATTTAGGATTCTTGGAACCTGTGGAGCTTCGTTTTATTGTGTCATTAATTTGTTTTAAAACATGCCAAGAAACTGGTCCAATGAGACCAATTGGAGGAACGACAAGTTGATTTAATGTGATGGTGCTTGAATATTGGTTAAGAAGTTATTGTTATTTTTCTTGTTAATTTTCCCAAGTTTTTGGTTGTGCTTTTAACATTCCAAACCAGAGACTGAACATGTAATTCTCCTGTGGACCTTGCATGAATGAGCCACTCCCTTGATCAACAGCAAGACCGACTTTTGGACACATGCCACCACACAAGTAGAATATTTTAATGATGAAAGCAGTAAAAAGTACTTCGGAAATTGTACGTTACGATTTGGTCTGAAAAACAGATTGTTTTCAAGATATCAGGAAGAAAAAAAAATCTTCGGAAAAAGTAAAACAAACTCTCAAATGTTCCCTAAAAACGTTTTTCTTTCCTTTTCAGAAACTAATCCAAATATAATTTTTTTGCTAGTACTTTATCCAAGCTTGATATGATATATAAGCGCCATAGATATAAGGTAAGGAATAGAGCAACGGCGTGAACTTCAGTCTCCCACGTGATGATTTTAATCTGAATTACAATGAAGTTATGTCATGACCCAAAATCCCATTAAGTGTTAATGATATTTAACTCAATCCACTAAGTAAGCCAACTAACATAATTAACATATACATCAATAAATAAATAAGAATACAAAAATTATTACAAATCCCAAAAACTACTGGTACAAGTCATGATCAACTAAGATTTGAATTACAAAATTGACAAGAAGAAATACATCATTTGTTTGAAAATAGATAAACATAATTACAATTCTAAATTGACATGAACAAGATGACAACTAATGATTGGAACGCTAAAGTCTTCAATGCTCATCCTCGAATTCCGCAACCGTATAGCTTTAAAATCTGCACGCAAGGTGCAGAAGTGTAGTATGAGTACAACCGATTCCATGTACTTAGTAAGTATCTTGATTAATCTTAGTGAAGTAGTGGCAAGGTATTTAAGTTAAAAGATACTCACGAATATAACCTATGCAGTTTGTAAGCAAGAGAAATAACAAGAGGAAAGACGAGTAATACTGAAAGAATCAAATAAGAGAGATAACAAGCATGATTTTCAAACATATCAACCAAATCTTTCTCAATAAATCATGTTCGTGAGGCTGGTACGATGTCCATAAACTACATGAACCATATTCACAAATCCTCATAATAAGAGGAATGTGTACAAGATATCAAATCAAATGGTACGATAACACCCTTCATTCATTTATCTTATCTTCAGAAAGCACGGAAACACCCTTCGTGCAATTCCACCCTTCCTCACCAAGCATATGTATAATATTCCAAACAAGGTAGAAGGTATATAGTTAACAGTGGCAAACAGGGTAGAAGACATGCAACTAACCATAATAAACAAGATAGTAGGCATAGATGTAACAACAACAAACAAGATAGAAGGCATATATATAACGATAACAAACAAGGTAGAAGGCATATATGTAACAATAACAAACAAGATAGAGGGCATTTATGTAACAATAACAAATAAGGTAGAAAGCATATATGTAACAATAACAAACATGTAGAGGCAAATATGTGTATGAGAAGAAAGGATAAACCCCATAAAATTCATGTCTCTCGTCCTCGCCTGCACGGAAACATCCTTCATGCCAATATCATATCAAGTCGCACGGAAATACCCTTCGTGCATATATCATATCAAATCGTACAGAAACATCAAACATGCGTATATCACTCATCCTCACTATACGGAAACACCCTTCATGCAATTTAACTCATCCTCGCCAAGCATGTGTATATTAGTACCAAGCAAGGTAGGATGCATAAATACAATAAAAATAGATGAGCACATATAATACGTTTCGTGAGAAATAATCATAGCTATAGTAAAAATAGGCAAACCAACACTTCAAGATCCGGTCCAAATATCACAACAAATTCTGCACATGATCCTTAACATGAATAAAAAGGCTTACGTAGCCTAGTGATGACATGTAATAAGTACGTGCTCATAATATAAAGCATGACTATGATCAAATCAATCATATCAATAACTTCAAGAATATCCCATCATACTCATGTAATCTGCCATATGTTTTAAATATGATTTCTAGCATGGTTAATTATACTCACATAGTCATAGAATTAATGAACATAAGTCTCGAAGATTATAAAGTTCAACAAGACACAAAGGAGCATATAATCTACCCCGAGCATGGATAACTCCGACATATGCATAAACACTCATCACCTCACATATGCATCACCCCCACATACAACAAAAAATATTATTTGTTGGGAAAAAATTTCTCAATCAAAGCTAGGCAAAATACTTACCTCATTCAGGAACAAATTCAACAATTCAATACTGATTTTTCTAAAAACTTTCCCTAAAAAGATCAAAATCTAGTCAAATAATGCAAAAGAAAATATCCCCAATCAATAAAGATTCAATATTTAATGAAATCTCAAAAGTCAAATTGAAGTTCAAATAAATAATTAGTATTAAGATTTTACCTCAAATTGAGGTTCAAATCTTCAAAATTAGCTCTCTTAAGTTCAACCTAAAATTCAATATGTACACTTTAAAATCTTAGATTTAGAGTGAAAATTTATCGTAAAATTATGAAAATAAATCAAAATAAAGTTAAAACTACCAACGTTAGAAGTTTGGATGAAACAATCTTCAAAATTTGCCTCTACTTGAAGTCTAAATCTGAAAAATGAAAGAAAATGAGCTAAAACTCGAAGTCTATTACCCTTATCGATCCTCAGATGTCGCATATGCAAGAAAAGCCTCGCAGAAACGACACCACAAGCACGACAA